ATTCTGTGATTGGTATGTTCTGCGTAGAGTACTTATTACAGAATGGACTGGCTGAGAAGTCACAAGAAGCTCTTACATGGCAGGGAGCAACACTGCCATGAAAGAGTGTTTTGGCAGGATTTCAGCTCAGAATGATGCCGGCATAGTGATGAAAACAGGGTTTTTAAACAGAAGTCAAACACTGTTCCGTATCTGCCAAGAAATTAAGGTAACTTGCGTCTCCAAGCCTACAAAGTATGGCTCCCACCAATAGCAGTTCACACATTTACTAATTCTCCTAAGTTGTCGAGGGCTACATGTTTTATTTTTCAAATGATCTTAACATATTGATGATGAAAGTCTTCAACTAACAAAACCTAGAAGTGGGGCTGGGGATTTAGCTCGGCAGCACAGCGCCTGCCTGGCAAACGCAAGGTCACTAGTTCGATTCCCCGAACCAGGAAAAAAACCAAAAAAAAAAAAAAAACCTAGAAGTATCTCACTCACATAGTGACTGCAGTCTGAGTAGAAAGAAAGTAATGCCATATTTCAGCGTCACACCTTGATGATACGTTCTTTAGACACAGTATGTCTACAGAACCACTGAATTCAGATCAACCTGGGAAAAATTTTATTCAAGCTATTATCACTATGCTATTATCACTAAGATACCAAAGGTAATTTTCCTTTCTGCTAAGACATACTGAAATCGCCTACTAAAAATCTTTCTAGTACAACTGATTCCAAAACTTCTGGTTCTTGGGAGAGTTTCCAGTAGAGACATCACTTCTTTTCTTCCTTAAAACAAAGGCAGTGTCTCACCTTAAATGTTTTAAGAAAGTAAGCCACAGTAGACAATGCCCACATTTTCCCAATAATAGAAATATTGTGTGTGTTTCTGGGGATTATTTGTTTGTTTTCTGAGTCAGGGTCTTGCACTGTTACCCAGGCTGGTTTCAAACTCCTGGGCTCCAGAAATTCTCCTGCCGTAAGCTCCCAAGTAACTGAAACTATAGGCACATGCCACCACAACCAGTTAAAAAACTGGGTTTCTTAAAAATTTTCAGTCAACACCTACAAATTGGGAGAGTTCACATAAAATTTAGACACTGTTTCTTTTTTGCAGGGAGGGAAGCCGGGTCTCACTACATAGTGCAGGCTGGCTTTGAACTCACTTATGTAGCCCAGGCTGGCCTCAAACTCATGGTGCTCCTCCTGCTTGAGCCTTCCGCGTGCTGGGGTTACCGCCCAGCACAGACACTATTTCTCACAATCCAGGGTCTCCATTAAACCCATCAGATGGAGCGAGGGTCAGCAAGTCCCAGCCTGTGGGCTAGATCCAGCTCACTGCTTGCTTGGATACAGGCCAAGAAGTAAAAATAGTTTCCATGTCTTAAAATCATTGAAAAGGAAGTATTTCCCGACATGTGGAAAGTACACAGCGTATGAATTTCAGGGTACACAAACACCACTGAGCTGGAAAATGGGCCACCCACCTGCTTGCACACTGCTTTCCCATCACCACGCAGCACAGCTGTGTCTCTGCCGCAGAGGACAGCTCATCGCCCCTCCGAAGACCATCTTTGTATCTCTTTCACGGGTTTTGTCATTGCTACTACACATCAGCTTCCTGTGGCTAAATCCAACCCAAATAATGTAACAAGGCAGGCTGTGAACTAGGAGGCAGTCACTAAGATCCACTGCATTCTGGTTATGGTGCAGAATCATCACATGGAATTTACAAAATTCTATCAAGCTTTTAAACCTATACTTAAAATTTTAAGAGTGAGCTGGCATGGTGGTGCAGGCCTATAATTTCAGCGCTTGGGAGACTGAGGCAGGAGGACAGCTTTGAGTTCCAGGCCAGTCTGAACTACATAGCAAGAACCCTGTCTCAGAAAACAAATAAAACAAAAAAAATTCTAAGAATGAACATTCACATTTACACACAAAAAAATTATTACAGAGACTAAATATAATTTCACTTTCTACTAGATGACTCTTACAAGGGGAGAAAAGTTTTTGCTTCCTTTTGTTAGATTTTAAAACTAAATACCTTAAAGAAGACTTAGAAAACCAAATACACCTATATATTGTCAATATCACAAGTATAGTCTGATGCTAGAAGCACAAAAGTCACAGAATTTCACTGATGGTATGACGCTCACAGATTCTTTTTTTCCCCTCACCTGAATAGCTGTCAGTTTATGTCTTATATTCACCAGGATAATGCGTGCAATCAGGAGCAGGATCGGTTTTGTGGTCAGGCTGTAGACTGATTCACCATCTAGAATGAGCAGGCTCAGAACAACGACATCCAGTTCTTTGACCTGAAAAGAAGTGTGTAAGCTGAGATGACATAACTTATACATTTAACATCTTTTTTTTAATGTCTTAAAATAATACACAGATTTTCTAGTTAATTCAGCATTGAGATAAGATCGTTAACGTATTACACAGCAATACTGCAAATCCAGTCTGGCCTGCCCTGACAGATGCTCACCTATGAGCTCAAACTTAAGAGAAACAGGGAACACAACCAAAAAGTAAAAAATGTTTCAAATCAGCCAGGAGTAGTAGTATGCACAAGTAGACCCAACTGCTGAGGAGGCTGAGACAAGAAGATCATTTGAACCCAGAACTGAAAATCAAACTGAGTAACACTGCAAAAACCCATCTCAAAAAAATTGTAAGTTAAATTTAAAAAACAGGGAACTCAAGAAAATGCTAGCACTAAAGAAGCATCATCACTTAATAGATACACCTACAAATACCATCTCAATAAAAAGCACCCCTGCGTGAAAGGAAATACCTGCATTTTGCTTATGCTTCACTAGCTGGCAAACATTATTACAAGGTCTGCTGCCGGGCATGGTGGCACAAGCCTATAATCCCAGCACCCGGGAGGCTGAAGTAGGAGGATCGTTGCAAGTTCAAGACCAGCCTGGGCTACAAAATGAGTTCAAGCCCAGCCTGAATTGTATAGCAATACCCTGTCTCAAAAAAAGACCAAAAAAAACAAGGCCTGTCTCCACTCCACAATTCTCAACAAGCCAAACTATCAACGAGATCTTACACATCAAATGCTGAGAAAGCCAAGTGAATAGGTGGATGTCCTTGGGTCAGGCCTGGTGGTACACAACTGTAATCCCACCTGCTCAGGAGACTGAGGCAGGAGGTTTGTAAATTTGAGGCCATCATGGGCAATTTAGCAAGACCCTGTTACAAAATAAAGAACAAAAAGGGCTGGGAATGTAGCTCAGTGATACAGAGAGTGTCTCTAAGTTCAATCCTCAAAACCACAAAAATGAATGAATAAATGAATGGATGGATGAATGATAAAAAATCTTCTCTGCTGAAGAGATTGTGTACAAGGCCAAAGCACCTGTTTTATAAAATGTACACTGCAGAGCTGTAACAGCTGCCACAACAATCAGCAGAAAGGCTTACCCATTGGGGACATGATGCTGTTGGCACAGACAAAAGACAGTGTTCTCTGCATCTCATTAGTTTGTGAGTTTAAGTCAATTTATCAACTAAAGCCTCAGTTTTCTCAATTACAAACTGAAATAACTGAACCTATATGTCATACCATTCTTGTGATGTAAAATTAAATTGTCTAAGAAATGTCAGCGCCTAGCTCAATAATTTATTTCCAATACTGAATATTTGAATACTGAATATCTTAAATTGTGTTTAAAGAATTCAATGAAGGCAAGAAAGACATAGCTGTGCTTACATCTTCTGAGCTATTTTCATCACCACTGAGAGGTGTTAATAGAGGAGTGCTTAACATGAATTACCAGATCAAAACACACACACACACACACACACACACATACATACATATATATAAATGTAGGGCCAGGGATATAGCTCAGCAGCACAAGTGCTTGCCTGGCAAGCGCAAGGTCCTGAGTTTGATTGCTGGTACCAAAAAATAATAATAATAAAGTAAAATATAAATTTAAAAATAAGCAATTTAATAGGGCAGCAATAAAAGTTATACAAAGGCAGAGACCATGCTAACATTACCTCTGATACACAAAGATGGGGGCAAAGCTCTCTAAGATTAGTATTAATAAATAAGGCAAATAATAAATACAGGAACAAATGAATGGCCATTTAAAGCTCTCTTCCTAGTGCTATCCATCATGGGAAAGTTAAGCACTTGTCTACACACCTCTGACACTGACAATATAACACTGAGATTCCAAATAAGTTCTAAATGTGCTTCCAGAGATTCTGGGAAATATTCCATTTTAAAGAGAAATATAGGGGCTGGGGATTTAGCTCAGCAGCACAGCGCCTGCCTGGCAAGTGCGAGGTCATGAGTTCGATTACCGGTACCGGAAAAAAAACAAAAAAGAGAATATATATATATACATATATGTGTGGGGTTTTTTTAGACAGGGTCTCACTATGCAGTTCAGGCTGGCCTTGAACTCACTATGTAGCCCAGACTAGCCTTGAACTCATGGCGATTCCCCTGCTTTGGACTCCCAAATGCTAGGATTACAGGTGTGCGCCACCACATCTGGCTATATTTTCAATAAAATAAACAAAGTAAAAGTGAGTAACTCCCTCAGTGAAGAGAGCAAATGTTATATAAATATACATATTCATTTGACACTGCACTCTCTGTTGTTTATAAGATACCCAGTTTGTGAGATTTTGTTAGAGTAGCCCAAATGGCCTAAGACAGAACTTCCATTTTAGTGTGTAAGGATTTATAAGTTTGTTGAAACATTACTCCCTTCAACCTTCAAGGTGCCCAAGGCTATATATAACTGTCTACACTAACTAATATGCTTTCTAATGATGTATGCATATGCTATTGAAATTATAAAGAAAAAGAACAGAATGGACTAGCACAAAATTCCCAAGAGTGGATCATGAGAGCAGGCGAAAGGGGAGGTGATCAGAAGCAGCCAGGGATGTAACTCAGTGGTACAGTGCCTGCCTGGCAAATGTGAGGTCCTAAGTTCGAGTCCCAGTATCAAAGAAGTGGACAGAGAACTTGCAAAGCAGAATTTCCTGATCTTTTTGAAGTTAGGACACATGTAAAGGACAGAACATAGTTCACTGGTAGAACACTAGCCTAGCATACCTGCAGCCCTGGGTACAATCTCCTGCATAGCAATAAAAAAATCAGAGGAATGGTGGCCCATACCTCTAAGTGTAGCACCCTGGCAGGCTGAGTTAGGAGGATTCCAAGATAAGCCCAGCTTGGGCACCATAGTAACTCAGCAAAACCCTGTCTCAAAGTAAAAAATTAAGCCAGGTGTGGTGGTGCACACCTGTACTCTCAGCACTCAGGAGGCTGAGGCAAGAGGATCACGGTGAGTTTGAGGTCGGCCTGGGCTACACAAGTGATTTCAAGGCCAGCCCGCACTACATAGCAAGACCCTGTCTCAACAAATAAATAAAAATAAAAGAGGCACTAACAGAGGTCAATAAAATGGAAATGACTAAAGAAGAGCTTGAGACCGACAGTGGATTGAAAAACCAATCAACAAACAAGTATTCTTACTAGTTCCGTGCCAGCCACAAAGTCATGCTGCTCTCTTACCTACTGCAATTTATAAAGATCTGTTTATAAAGAATAAACAATCACTACACAGCACATTTTGAAGCATACCTTACTAAACTGCTGCAAAAGAACAGATGGCAAAAAATCCTGAGGGTCCAAGTCTACAAGAGGCCCCGTCCAGTTGCTCTGAACAAAAAGCTGCAAACTGCTCACACCAAGCAGGAATATCAGCCGTTGTCTGCATATAAGAATGGGAAAAGAAGCAAATATGAACTACTACCACCATACTATCACAACAAACTAATTCACTGCAGTTTTATTAACAACTTAGCAGTTTACTCGAGTGTCATTTGGGCAGTGGGCTTTGTTGGGGCGGGGTGGGGGAGGTACTAGGCATCAAACACAGGACCTCAAGCTTGCCAGGCATATTCCCAGCCCTGGGCAGCATGTTTGTTTATGTATCTGACTATCCTGAGCATCGCTTAGGCAAGTGTTAAATGTTTTAAGATATACCATACACAGAAAAATTATTAAATAAAATTGTCATTTTTATATTCACTATTATTTTATAAAATTAATGAAAAAATATGCAATTTTTGGTCAGCCTGTATTTAAATAATTGGACTGGTGAGTGGTTAAGAAAAAGATATCAAACAAAATTAGCCAGGAGTGCTGGCACACACCTGTAATCCCAGTACTCAGGAGGCTGATGCAGGAGGATTCACAGGAGGATCACTGTGAATCTGAGGTCAGCCTGGATTACATAGGAAGTCTCAGGCCTGAACTACACAGCCAGACCACTGTCTCAAAAAAAAAAAAAAAAAATTTATAGAGACAATCCTAGAGCACAACCCAAAACCAATTATGAAACAAAACAATTTAGATCTGCAGTGTCCAGTATTACAACCATGCACCACGTTGGCTCTTATTTAAATTAAATAAAATTAAATAACATTTAAACTACAGACCTTACTCACATCACCCTTATTTCATACAGTCAACAGCCAAACGTGGCAGTGGCTACCACGCTGAACAAAGCAGATCAGGAACCCTGCCATCATCACAGAGAACCCTCCCACACAGTGCGAAGTCAAGGCACTGACGCATGTTCAAGTCTGTTTCTCCTTGAAAACCTCACTGAAATTCCTACCTTTCTATTTCATCCAAATCTGCAGAGCAATCCAGGAATGTTACTAACTGCTTCTCCAGGTAGCTGTCAATCTTTTCTTCCGCCGTTGTCGATGAATTTAAAATATTTTGAGTCACTGAATGGAAGAACACAGCCTCATAGTTCCCTTCTAACATCAACTGCAAGAACGATCCACTCTCTGTAATATAAAAAATTAGCGCAGTAATCCCAAACAACGATGTTTCATACTGTAAAGGATAACCTATTAGGTGATACCACTTTACTATGCAAAAAATGGTGTACAATTAGAATGGTTGCAGCACATTAATCGCAAGGCACGGAGCAAATCCCTCTCATTCTACAAACACCACTTTCCCTAGAATTAGAGGCTCACTTATATTAGCTATCACGAGCAAGGCGGTCTCATCAAGAAACAGTATTTGTCAGTAATAGGTATTATTACCCTTCTGGTGGAAAACTCACGAAGATTTTGACAACAGAAAAATGTCTTAAGACTTTGCACTCTCTGGCTTCTCCCTCCCCTGCTGTTCTTCCTTAAGAAAACATCTCAACCATCCCGGTTCACTCATTGTTTCCCTGATATTCTCCATGTTTCCATCCTTCTGCACTAGTGATTTTTTTCCTGCTGAACTCTTCTCCACTCAGTCTTATTCTAAATCAAAATTAGCACAAGTCGGACCTTCCATGAAACTTTTCCAGACCACCACATTTTACACCACCAGAATTCATACTTCCTGACACCTCCTATGTTTACACACACACACACACACACACGACGTCTATACTGTTATTTCGTTCTCCTGGATCCAGCCTTAATCCCACAAGAGCTGCCCCTGTATGTCACTAGTAAATATACCGCTTAACATTTCCTAGTCAGGTACATGTGCACTGCTCCCAAGAATTACAACGTTACCGCCTTGTTTCGGTTTTCCGCTTACTAGCCATGGGACCCCAAATAAATTAATCTACATAGATATCTTCATCTGCAACACGGGGTTAAAAGTAGTACCTACTTTACACGACCATTACAGGGAACAGCTCGCTAAACAAATGCTAAGAGCTTACAAAAGTAACTGTCACTGCCACTGCTCTTATTCTCGAGCCTGGGCAGTGAGAAGTTCTGGGCGAAGACCAGCAAGGAGCGTGAGAATGCTGCCCACCTTGTCAAGGTTTCGACAACCCAAACCATAGATGTGGGAAAGCCATGGGCAGGAGGACTGGTACAGGGAGGGATGAGGATCCCGAGCGGCGTCCCGCGTCCCCACAGCTCCCACGCCGGCCCGCGGCTGCGCCGCGCTCACCTGAGCCAGACGCCCCCTCCTGCTTCCACTGCCGCCGCTCAGCCTCCGCAGAGAAGCCCCTCAGCACCGCTAGCTCCGGGGTCCACATCACCCCGCACATCGCTGCGGACAAAAGAAGTTCCTACAAGGGTCACACAAACGTGAACCAAAAGTGAAAGGAGAACAGTCTAAAGTCGCCGAGGTCCAGTGGTGACAGTTACCGCAAAGCCACCAACCAAGCTAAAGCGCCATGCGAGGATACAAGAAATGGGAGGAAGCTATGACAGGAGCGCGGGGCAACCTGGGAAAAACACACACGCTCCGTAAAGCAGCTTCCGCCTAGGCAACCAATCCGAGCCTGGATGCTGAGCATGCTCGGTGGATATGCCCCGCCCCGAGGAGGGCAGGTCTCGGTCCTGGGGGCTCAGCCTGGCTCAAGCTCTCCTTTAAGGGGCCGGGGTGTTCCGCCTGCCGAACGAGCAGTGAAGCAGCTGGGAGAGGGCGTTCCGCCCACAGATCCCTGGGGTCAAAGGGCAGCTCGCCTCCGAGGTCTTGGCCAACCGCGATGTACTAGGGTTTGTTTGAATGAAAATCTTCTTGACCTGATGAAAATCCTACTCCTCTAGGGCAAGAGCACGTGGGTCCTTCCTTGCAACTGATTCGGGGAATTAGTGACTGAAGTGGAGTTGGTGAGGCCAGGCCAGAACGTGGGTCTTTATTTTTTTGGATGAATGAAAGTGTAAAAATCTGTTTGATCAATTTTGCATGCCTGTATCTGGTAATCTGAG